AGGAATGATACTGACTGATGTCTGGAATATTATTTATTTCACTGACTTTACTTTTAAATTTGTTTCGATTGAGATTTTATTGAGTTTATAGTGACTTTTCTGTTGCAAACTCTACTGTTGCTGCTCTAGATACAATATTTAGTTATATTTAAAATATAAATAAATTCTAATCCTGACCATTTTATTGCTAAGTGTAATGTGAAAAACTACTGCTGGATTGGGGGTTTTAAATAAATACTGTAATAATAACAGTTTAAATTACGTTAAATGAGAGATTAGTGCCTGCAGGCTGCAAGTTGTTAACAGTGCACTGATACTGTAGATCTCATAGGTTCAAATGAATTAATGAATCATCCTGACTGAGACATGCTTATATTGTCTGTGCAGGGAAGCATTCCCTTTGCTGTGGTGGGAACGGACAAGGAGCACCAGGTGAATGGAAACAAGGTGCTTGGCCGTAAAACAAAGTGGGGAATCATTGAAGGTAAGGCATCAGTGTAACCTTATTCACACCTGCTATTATCATTTACTGCTTAGAGTTCCCACTGTGTGCAGATTGTGAGCTCACTTTTGGCACAGCAGATGAGTAGGTGCAGCAAATGCTTCAACAGCTATAGCAGCTGCTTCAATGCAACCTGAAAACTTTTTTTCACACAAGAGGGTTCTGACTCTTTAGTACAAATCTTCATGTGTTCTAAACTACCATTTCTCACAAGACGACACCCACAACTTACTGGGGTCAGGCATCCAGTTTCATATACCGACAGGGATGAGAATCATCCTTGTATAAGCAGCAGCTATGACATCTGTACCTGCAGCAGAAGGGTATTGTATTGGCAAGAATCTGGTGATACAATAGGAATATTTCTAATCTTACTGTTCTATCTTTCAAACTAGTTTCCTCCATGATTCCAAAAAATATTCAATGGGTGTGATTGGATTGTTGGATTTCAAATCAGTGGGGTAACAACAAAAGTAATATTGTACCTGATTATTGGGGCAGCTGTGGCTCAGAGGTAGAGTGGGTCATCCCCTAATCGGAAGGTTGGCGGTTCGATCTCTGGCTCCTCTAGCTGCATGTTGGTTAGTAATTTCTAGAATGTTTGAGTTAATTATTCTTTAACATGTTAAATAATTTAGTATACACATTTTCAACCAAATTTTTGTTAATTAATTCATGTGGATGGTCACAGATATAATCTTATCGTCAACCAGAGAATCTAAAAGACAAAATACCAGGCATGTAGAGTGGAGAGTGAAAGGGCAAGTGTTAGAAATTACTAACCAACAATCAGTGAACGTATCCACAGCCTTTTATAGTAATGAATTTCTGTGCCATAGACCGCCATTGTTTCAAAACTGACCGGTCTGTGTTGAGGCTTTTTTTTTATTAACTCTGTGAGAGACCCTTTTATATTAGCTGACATTTAATATTTTATTGTAGTGGAGTACACTTAATTTCACCTGATATAAAAATAATATTACTTAATATAATTAAACCACGTTCAAAATGTAAACTTGTAATAGCTTCCAGCTTTTATAAAGCTTCTATTTTAACATTTAAGAGATTCCGTTGAGAAGAATAAAACCCGATGCTCTTCTTCCCTGTCCCCCGTCCACACTTAAAAATCTCTTTTATTTATTGTCTCTCAAGACACCCAAATTTCTCCCAATGCTGTGCATCAGTGCATGGGTGTGTATGAATGATAAGTTTCCTTTGGTGAGCAGTTGGCACCTTGCATGGCAGCCCCTGCCATCAGTGTATAAATGTGTGTGAATGGGGTGAGTGTGGCATGTAGTGTACAGCGCATTGAGTGGTCGAAGGACTAGAAAGGCGCTTATATAAGTACAGTCCATTTACCATTACCATTATGATTTTATTACTAGTAATGTATCACTGCCCAACACTGGTAACAACATACTAAATTCTCGATTCGATACAAGTCACGATACTGGGTTCATGATACAATTTTCTCACTATTTTTATTAACAAAATTAGATTTGCCAAACAATGCATATTTCCTTTTCTTTGTAAAAGTGAAACTGATTCACATAAACATGATTTATATCACATTTAATTTTTATTTTTTAGATTTTAATTTATCTCAGCGATTTAACTGTCTCATAGAAAGGTTACAGGTTAATTTACCATTTATATAACAGCTTGTGTTCGTACTAGCTACTAGAACCTGTAAAACATGAATAACAGAAAAATTTTAACTCTTCTTCGCCCTCTTAACAAAAATAATGCACAGCAAACATCTGCTAAGGAGTGGGAAAAACAGCCCGACTGACCAAATCATTATTTTATGTAAGATTTTATTCCTAAAAACATGGCTGTTGACTATATTATCTGCTTAATAGAAAGAGATATCCAAAATCAGTTTTATTCTGTTATCTATATTCTAAAGGTTTTCACAGAAGGCTTTGTTCACATAGCATTCCTAGCCAAGTTTATGTAACTTTTAATTCCTAAAAACATGGCAAAAATGTTATTTTTTTATGGCTGTTGACCATATTTTCTGCTTGATAAAAAGAGATAATAACCATTGACTCTAATTTGTCAACAAAATAGAACTGAAAAATAAATAATTTTGAACCTGTCTTTATCCAGTGTTCATATTTATGTTCTGGAAATGCTGGAAATCAGCATATTTTTAAGCAGATATGGACTCATTTGCATATATATACATATAATTCCAGAAAACCTGTAATACAAAAAGTAATTGCCTTAATCTAAGTATTCAACCATGAAAGCTTCATTGTGATATCTAGTATTTTATTTTTTACCCTATTCATCTGTACTGTCTGTAAAAATACAACAGGGACTGTATCACAGGACCACAGTGCTTATAACAGTAGGGGGTGCAAATTAACATAATTCCCATTGGCTGTGATAACATTTGAATTGCTGCCAAATTGGGTCGTGTGCATATTTAATTAGGCAGATACACAAGTCTCCGCTGTATCTGCAGAACTGATTAGTCCAACACAAGCTTTATTATTATTCTTATTATTATTATTTATTATCAGTTTACTTTTATGTAAATGGCTGTTTTTGAACATAAAATAAATATTTTTCTCTTTTCACAGTTGAAAATGTGGCGCACTGTGAGTTTGCCAACCTGAGAGATCTACTCATCAGGTAAGTTTGGCTGCACTGCTACACTTGGTTCATGATGAAAGAGACAGGGTATGAGGATATAGATATATCTCAGTATTTATAGGATTTAAGGAGGGAAAAATTCACCAATATAGTGAATCTTTGAAAATAGACCTCTTCTTTGTGGATTGTGCACTGATATGACTGTAAAGGTACTCAGAAGGATGCTTTCTTAAACAAATAACTTTATTAAATAATATTTAACTTAAATATTCTTTAACATGTTCAATAATCTACAGTATATTACTGCATTAAGCATTTTTCTGCATTATATACCATTGAACTGATTTATTATTTTTATGGGCAGAATCTCGAGGCCCGGCTTAAGTGTGGAAAGTGTCTAGTATGGGGATCAGTTATTTCTTGTGATTACTAGAGTAAGCAATTTCTCGGGGATTGGCATGACATCATGTCAGAAATTTAAAATGTATCACTTCCTATAGAATGACAGGGCGTTTGATGAATTACATGTTGTTTTAATCCAGTGTATTAGATAGAGAGTAGCAAAATGAATGTCAAGTTGTAAATCTTTTGTTTTTTGCAAAGGTCTCACCTTCAGGACCTGAAAGACGTGACACACAACATCCATTACGAGACCTACCGCATACGCCGGCTCAACGAGAGCAACATGGACTTCAGTGAACTGGGCCTGTCCACCTGGCTGCTGGAGAACGGAACTGCCGATAAATGGGAATCAGAGAGCCACCTCTGATCTCTCCATCAGCCTACTCCTCCTTCCTGCACCTGCCAGAGGAACACCAATGTTCCTCGTCCAGTCAGAATGAGAGATGGGGGGGGGCTATTTCACTCACATCACACACACATTTGAAAATGAGATGGAGAATTATTTTTTTTATTATTGTTTTTCAATTTTTTTCATTATGGGACCATCTAGTGGATTGTTTTTAAATGAAAAATTCTATTCTGGGTTTTTACATTAAGACATAAGAAATGTATCAAATATGGATATATTTTTGACTGTGAGCTCATATATATTTTTTGGAAGGATGGTGACAGTGTACAGGGCAGGCTGGCAGCAGGTAGCACCATGTGGCACAAAGTCTCCCAATGGTATCTAAACAATGTTGCTATATAAATGGTACACGTATGTGGACAGTCCAGACCTGACTGTATCACCTAACAACAGTGTTATAGAAGCAGATCATATGTGGGAAAAGGCTGTCCGTAAACATTTAGCAATCATTCTTGCTTAGGGTAAATGTGTTTAGATGTGAACCTAAAGACATTGCTTTGAATTAATTTAAGAACACAGAGCAGCAACCAAAATAGTCACAGCATGTAAATCAGGTAAATTAACCCCAAAAACTCTTGCTGCGCCAAGCTGCCCTGTTCATTTTGACCATATCGGTTTTTAACAGTACTGTTGTCAGGTCCGACAACACGTTATGGAGAGGTGGACGATGTGTAGGTTTGGTTGCTTTATAAAAAGATGGCTGCCTTTTATACTTCTGAGCTGAGCTATAACTGACTGTAGGGAATATAAACTTAATGATTAGACGGTAGGATTCTGGAGGACATGCTGTATTGTATCCTTCGTTTACCCCTTCAAGTGTCCACATTTGCCTGCCCTTTTCCTTCACATTTCCATGTCCAGATTCCATGTATAAAATTGAAGATGCTGTTTGTGTCCACATTTAAGTGCCAAATCTACAGAAAAATGCTTTATTTGTTCATTCTCTGACACTTTTAAAGAGTAACTACACCCAAACAGTTGACACACATAGAACAACCGTAGTCATTATGTCAATAGTTGAGCACAAAATGGACTAGTGAACATCTCAAAATCTTGCTCAGTATTCAACCAGTGGATAAAATGAGCAGAACGTGTAGACTCACTCCATGGATTGCTGAAGGTGTGGACACCGACTTTGCAAGATCTTTTTCAAATTTCATCAGCCAAATCAGGTTCTGAATAGGATAGTTGATGATGATGTGATTTGTGGTGTTTTCCATTTATTATTTTTCAGATTTAGTGACTTTTATCCAGCTCTGCAGTCCCTTGAACAGGCATGTGACTTCCCCAGATGCGACCTCTCTTTCTCTTTTTTGCATTCATTGCTCATTTAAAACAAAGGGACACCATAAAAACGGCGTAGTTAAAGCTGCAGTAGATAACTTTTATAAAAATAACTTTTTGTCATATTTGCTAAAGCTTTGACTATTACCTGGCAGTAGTACAGCATAGAGACAGATAATCTATGAAAAAATCAGGTTCCTCTGGCTCCTCCTAGTGCTCATAAAGGCATTTACAAGAATCCACTGGGCCTGAATGAAAACAACCAATCAGAGCCTAGAAAGATAGGTCTCATTCCCCGGGGCGTCAAATACAGACACATTGGGACCCTAGGAATGTGACTCAACAATCAACTATATTCAAGCCTCCAACCCAAAGCGTCTTTCTATTCTTCTCTGATTGGTTGTTTTCGTTCAGGCCATACCATTAGGAGTACTAGGAGGAGGCAGAGGAACCAGATTTTTTCACAGATGATATGTCATGTGTACTACTGTCAGGATATAGTAAAGGTTTCAGCAAAAATTACAACAAAGTAGTTTTATAAAAGTTACCTACTGCAGCTTAAAGTGGTTCACGTTTGTTGCATCTCTAAACAGGCCGGGCATGGTACGTTGTGGCCACACCCAACTGTGACTGTAGCAGTGCACTGTGAAGTGCTGTAATGTGCAGGGTGCGCCTGGGTGTAGTTGTCTACACGACTCTCAATGGGTCGTAAATGGCTGGTTTAGTGTGGAGGAAAAAGCCCAGATGGATAAAAGATACATTTTCAGATTCATCAACATTAGTGTAAGCACATTTTTACATTTGTACATTTTTAGTGTCACTAGTTGTGTGTTGCTATTACTGTTGCAACTAGCTAGCTCCACCCTAGCTTTTGTAACAACGTTATTAATATAGAAATGGCTTGTGCAGCAACAATGGTGCATTATTGACACAATAATTAGGCATTTTAACTTTACATAGCAGGAAAAGTAACCATGGCGACCTGTTCAAGAGTCCCAGTGAGCCACGACAGTGAGCCATCTTGCACCCTGAAACTGAAGGAGCTAAATGGAATTCAGCCATCATTCATGTGATTATCTACACCTGTACTTTTTCCTACTGTGTCATGTCAAATTTTCAGTGTGTCAAGATTACCACTGTAGAGTTTGAACTTAACATGATGGCTTGTGAAAATTATTGTTATGGTTAAGATGGCAAAGCCTGCTCAGCCGTCTTTCAATAGATAAATGATGATTTAAATATATTTTTAGAGAACCTAGAGAACCTTTCTGTTACTTAAAGCTGCAGTAGATAACTTTTATAAAATGTAAAAATCCGGACTGTAGTACATGAGAGAGATAATCTGATGATCTGTCTCATGAACTACTTTTTGGATAAAGTGAAATTTTCAGCAAATACGACAGTTATTTTTATAAAAATTACCCACTGCAGCTTTGACTCGACATATTTCAGAGTGATGCTCCATATAAATATGCATGAGCAGTGTTTAAGAATAGCACTCGGGAAATGGCAACACTCATGCATGATCAGGCTCAGCATTGGTCTCACCTTTTTACGTTGCTTAATTTTTACTTCATAACTCAACTCAAAGCTCAACTACCTGGCATCCAAAATGTCACTTTCCCTCTGAAGCCACCTATCGTCACTAGTGACACCAAACCCTTTGCAGTTGCATTCCACTTTGATCAAATACAGCATGTCAGATATTCAGTGTTACTGTCCTCTTCCTGACCCTATGTGTTAACCTCCACCCATGTGTCTAATACTCAGCATGTACTAACAGTTTGATTATTGTCTTTGTTTTTTTTATAGTATAAATGATATACATGTTAACACTGTCGATTTACAATTAAATACTTGTCACCTTGTCAGTCCAGTGTGAAGTCATTATAATGAACATACGGAATCAAAAAAACCCTGTTCACTGTGTGTGGTCTAGGTTTTCACAACAGAGCCGGTCCAAAGCAAATTTCTGCTAAGGGGCCCTCCTACCTGACCCGTAACTCATGTAAGCCCCTGCCACAGTCACACTTGACACCCCACTGCTCCCACTACAATCTGCCCTCCTTTAAAATGGTTTGCTCCATCAGTCTGTCTAAGAAAAAGGAGACATATACAGAAGAGAATTTTAACATTAAAATAAGTCAGAAATTCTATTAAATATAAAATGTAAAAATTTATAAAATATAACACTGAGCTTTGGCTATACAATGTAATCATAAGCCTATAGGCTCTGGCAGCAGCTTTAAGTCTCAGAATATCTGCATCAAGCCCTTCAAACTGGCTCCCCAAGATTTTCTTTTACATTTTCAAATATAAAATAATAAATTATATATATTATAAATATTAGTATTATTTCTACTAGTATATTTGTTGCTATTGTTGTTGCTGTGCACTTTTGTCTGTCTGTCTGAGGTGTCTGCCTCTTAAAGGGATGTTTTTTCCTTACATTAATAATAAGGAACATCCCAGATTTCATCTAAATGACCTCTCAAATTTAAAATAATCTCAGTAGGAGACAGGTCATATCTTGCTGCCCAATTTGTATTAACTTTCCACAACCTGAGGGATAGTGAGTGATCTAGACCAGTGCTTCCCAACCTTTTTCCTCAAGGGAGCCCATCTTTTCTATGCATTGAGTAAACTGACAACCCCCTGACTAAGAATTCAATTCAATGTCAATTCAATTCAATTTTAATTTGTATTAGTCGGCGATATTTGAAAAATGTCCTGAGATAACTTCTGTTTATAAATTGGCGCTATAGGCAAATAAAATTGAATTGATTGAATTGAGATTGAATAGATACATATTGTCATTAGACGTGTAACAATGTGGGTGGCCACCCGTACTTTTCCAATGATACAATTTTATTTGCTTTAGTCCCACCCATGTGCGGCAGGTTGTGCTCAGAGGCATAGCAAGGTGCGTCCTAAAACTCGGAAGGGTTTGTTGGTTCGATTCCCGGCTCCTCCTGTCACCATGTCGAAGTATTCTTGAGCCAAGATATGAACCCAAATTGCTCGCTGATGCTGTGCATTGGTGTGTATGAATGCGTTAGTTCTGTTCAGTGAATGTGTG